CAAAAAAAATAATAATATACCAGACAGGCCATAATTCCAAATTTTGAAAGAAAAAAAAAAGGAAATGGTTAAAATGAAAGATTTAGGAAAAAAAAAGAAAAAGAAAGCTTGAGATGAACCTTCAAGTCAGGGGACAGTTTGATACAACAGATACAATTAGACCGAGATTTGAAATCTATTCAGAATTTCAGATTACATCTTACACCACTACAGAAAAAAGAGCACTGGAACAAAGGTATAGTTACTGCACGCTGAGAGCTTAAGGTAACAAACTAAATACAGAAGAAACGAAGTTAAAAGGGAAAAGCAGGACTCAAGTTTTGCATTTTATCTTATATAGCTCATAACAAGCTACCTAGCTGTTGCAGCTTTACCAATAAGTAGTATAAGATGTAGTTGCACGACGGCTACAGCATAGTGTAATGCACTGTATTATATCTTCAAGAAGGAAATTTAACAGATTGAACACAGGTTTAATATTTATAGTCTATTACTCAGAGTACTGGAAATAAGACTTGCATATACACTAAGCTAAGAAAAGAAAAAAAAAAGTATAGAAAAAAGTTTAGAAGAGCAAGACTTGAATAGACACCAAGCGAAGAAAAAAGTAGAGAACTAAGAAAAAAAAATTGGATTCATCTGGCAAAAGAATCAACCTGATCAAAAAATTAAAAAGACCATCTAAAAGAACAGAATTGCGCAACGATACGATGTTCCCATTCTACAATCAAGTACATAGGACCCTTTTTCAGCTAAATAAAAAATAGAGGCTGGAAAAAACTTATATGGAAATACTTCTCTCCACAATTTTCTAAAGAGCCCCTTTACAAACCTCTCAACAATGTCAGCTCTTTCCATCAAAACAGCAATAGTTTCTGGTGAGATATTATTGTCTCCAAAGGAACAGTACCCAAAGGAAGACAGCTCCGAATAGTTCCTGCTACCCCCTCACAGCCATACCCCCCTCCCCTCTCTTTCCCTCAAAGAATACCTTTTCTGGTAAAAATGCATTTCCAGTTCTATCCTAACATAGATCACACAGAACCAAAAAGACCTAACCCTTACTGCCGTGAGCAACTAAAAACTAATGAACAAATCAAAAATTCAATCAAGTTACCTTTTAAAATATTCCATTAAAGCCAACTAAAGAAGCATGTATGCTAAGCAAAGAGAAAGAGAAAGAATAAGACTCGGAAAAATGGGGTGAAAATGCCATGGCAGGCTATATCCAATCAACAGGAAAAGAAAGGGTCGTGAAAATGACATAAAAGACAAGTTGACAACTGTACTTAATCAAAATAGACCACATAGAACAGCAACATAAAAGCTCCCCTCTACAAAAAAAAAACCTTCATAATACTACTATATAATAGTCACGTTTTCCTCCCTATTATAGCTTGCTTCATCTAGAATTATCATCAGTCATCACAGCAATGAGGATTACCTTCTTTCCAATTCATAAAATATTAACAAAAGAAAACAAAGCTGATTAGTCATCAATCCAGCATAACTTCAACAAATTTTCACACATCTAAAATCCATATATAGAAAAATCTTTCTTCAACTAGCTCAACTTTGCAACAGCAAAAACTCTGTTTCTGAAAAAAATGCTTCACTTATCTTACAGATATATGCCTCCATTTACACTAGTAGCATTCAACCTCCCTCCTTAAACCCTACCCCTCAAAGGCTCAAACCCATGTTTGCCAATCAATCCCTTCTGACAAGGTTAATCAGTACCTTCACTAGTTCAAAAATCTGAAAGCTCTAGCATGAGACTGCATTCAGAGATGATTGAAGTGTAACAACCTATCCTTAAGGCCAACTGCTCACAAGTACTTTCAGAAGCCCTCGTCCGGGGCTAAGGAAATTCAAGCAAACATAGATAATTGATACAACAAGTCAACAACAACAAAGCCTTATTCCCAAAATGATTAGGTCAGCTAACATGAATTGTCATAAGTAACCGTCTGATAAACGCAGATAGTTGACATAGCAAGAAAAATCAAAGGCATAATGGTTTTTAACAATGACTCCCCTATGTAAAACAAACAGTTTCCAATGTATAAGTTCAAAATCAACGAAACGGTAAGAATGTTTGATCAATACTAACAACACTAAGACAATACTCATAACTCGTTCCTAACTAATTACCAAATCGATCCCCTATATTTGTGCTGAGAAAGCTCAATAGTTAGTAGGCTTTACCACTATTAACCTGGTTCCATGACTTCCATTCGTATAAACAAATACATCAAAAACTTCAACTAGGGCAGAAATGAACCCATTTAATTCTAAGTTACATTCAATAATCAAATCGAAGGAAATCAACAAGAAAAGCATAAATTCCACAAAATCAATATACAAGAATGTAGCAAATCACCCAAATAAGCAAAAGTGGAGAATTTTCATATAATAAATGGACAAAAATCAACATTATTTCAAATACCCAGAATAAAAATTCAACAAAAACCAACAAATAATGTGCAATTCTACAGAAATTCAATCGAACAATCATATTAAATGCGACAAAATGGAGAAACCCCAGATGAAAAAAGGGGCAAAAAACGAACCTAATTTGGTGAATTCACCAGAAGCAAGTGCATCAACGTAGTACTTATCATTGTATCGAACAGGAAAGAGGGTAACATTGAGCTTTTTAAGCTGCATTATATTCTTGTCCCTTACTCCATCCAACGAAATTGTCACTTCTTTCATCCTTTCTCTCTCCTCAACTAACCAGAAATTATACTGTTCGAAGAAAAATGTTCAAGATATGAACCCAGAAATCGCTAATTACTGTACTGAATCCTACGATTGAGGATTGCAGGAAGGGAGGAGAGAGAAAGAGAGAGAAGAGAAGGGCGAACAAGGGCTATTATTTTTGGGCATGGGAGGAGGAGTCAATGCCATCTTACAAGTAACTACTTGTATACGGGTCGGGTTTAACCCTTTTTCCACGGGATCAGCATGGATGACCGAGCCCGTATATTGGCTTAGAAGGACTAGAATTCTAGAAGTAGAGGTGGTTAACGAGTCGTTTTATATTCGCCCATTTAAGTGTGAAATATTTTGGTTCAACAAGTTTGAAGTTTTCAAAATTGTAGGTTATTATAGAGATTAAAGCAGTATTTTACCTATATCAGGTTTCGAGTTGAGCATGATATGTTTTAGGGGTGAGCAAACCGAGTACCCGGTCAAAATTTTAGGATCCGGACCCGGAATTGGTTGGGATCGGGTCCTAAAATTTGGAACCGGAATTGGAACTGGTACAACCGGGTCCTAAAATTTAGGAATTGGAATTGGTTCCATCGGGTACCGGTTCTGATTCCGGGAACCCTCTTATATATACAAGTGTTAAAATATATTACAAATCATAAAAAAAAAATTTGGTTTATTTTTACTTTTAACGTTTAATACTTATATTTTTATATACATTAAGCTATTTTAATTATATTAAATATTAATATTTTTTTTTTATTTTACTATTTAGTTACATTCAACATATTTTTGTTTTTTAAATATATTTTGTACAATATATGTTGGGTAACCGGTATAGTAGAGTGAGAGAAAAATCTAGAAGTTTTAGGATTTTGTTTGAAAGTGGGTTGAGAGTTTTATAAGCAATTGAGCTTAGAAATTAAAATGGGTTGTACATAACTCTTTAGTTTCTTAAAAACACAAACAATCCACATACTTTATAACCGGGTCCGAAATTTTGGACCCGGTCCCGGAACCGGTGAGACCAGTTCTGGGTCCGGACCCGGCGGGTCCTAACCGGTTCCGGGTTCGGTACCGGGTACCTTGGATCTTTGCTCACCCCTAATATGTTTGATTAGATTTGGTTTGATTAAATCAGTTTTGTCAAATTTATTTGGAATTGAATCTTGCTTAAATATTGTCTTTATAGATTTAAACTTTTAATGAGCTACTCCATATTTAAAAAAATAAAATAAAATAATAATAATAATAATAATAATAATAATAATAATAATAATAATTATTATTATTATTATTATTATTATTAGGAATATAATTTATTGATTTTCACGAGTATAAATGAACATGTAATTTTGTCTTGAGACTCATTTAATACAAATAAACATAAAGCAATTCATATACTTGTATTAGATAAAGTGATAAACAAGTGATATACTATTCCAAACACAAAAATAAGACCACTTATAATTGATCCTTTTCATTTCTAGCCACACAAGTTGATCAAACTTAAAATGCAAACAACTTACAAAAGCTACAACTATTAATCAATAAAGGACAATAACACATATAACTAGATAGCAACTATTAGTTGATATTAATAGACCTGGTAAATGGGTCATTCGGGTCGGGTTACTTTCGGGTCAGCTAATATTCGGGTTGACTATGGGTCGGGTTGGGTCTATCCGGTTTCGGGTCAGGTATCAAGTCAAGTTCGGGTCGAGTCAATTTCGGGTCAAGTATGTTCGGGTCATATTCGGGTTAGGTCAAAATCTGGTCGGGTTATGTTCGGATTGTTTCATTTGTGAATCAAGCTCAAATGAATAATTTTATACGGAATATATATTTTGTTATTGTTATAATAAAAACTATCAATTCAGTTTATGAGCTTAGCTACGGTTGAAGATGAACAATTTGAGTTACTTTTGGTACAAGACACTTTAAGTTCAATTATAAGGTAATTTTAGTTCAAGACATTTCGAGTATCGGGTCTGTTTGGATCAATTTTGGGTATCGGGTCTGTTCGGGTCAAACACTTTGGGTCTATTTCGGGTTGGATTAATTTCGGGTCGGGTCAAGATCGGGTCAACTCCAATTTTGAGTCGGGTCAATTTCGGGTTATTTTCAAATCAATGTTTTTGGATTAATTTCGGATCATGAGTTGGATCATTGGATCTGGATCAAGAATGCCGGGTATAGTTGATAACGCATTCAGTTCCAAACTCATTTGTTGCATACGAGTATTAAATTAGTTAATTGTCAAATAAGACCACAACTTCAAAAGTCGAGAAATGTTGCAAACAAGTGGCAAACTCCAACTCAAACTTTGCACTTGGTGGGTTTAGAGACAAAAAACTTTTTATTTTTATTGTTGTAGTATCTTCTTCAACTTCTAGTAGTATCTTCTCACTAACTTACTAACTTAGAGAGAGAAAGAGAGAAGCAAAAAACAATAGACAAGATGATGAGTAGAAGTGAGAAGGGGCAACCAAAGGCAGTGGTGGTGGGAGGAAGCATAGCTGGAATATCGTGTGCTCACGCGCTATTATCCGCGGGTTGGCAAGTTGTTGTGGTTGAGAAATCAGTTGGGCCCACTTCTGGAAGCCCAACTGGTGCTGGGCTGGGCCTGGACCCTTTGGTTTGTAACATCATCAACTCTTGGCTCGGTCATTCTGCTCTTCTTAACAAGGCTACCTTGCCTCTTACCTTTGACCAGGTCTTTACAGTTTATATCATTTGTCATTTGCTTTGCCTTTCATTATTTTTGTATCTTAAGGTTGTTATATTGGTTCGTTTTTGCATAACGTTACTGCTTTGACGGAAATTGATTTGCAATAATAAAATATTTGTATTTTCTGTATAAATACGAGTATATGGTTTTGTGTGATTTATTTACGCGTAGATAGAGTACATTTTATATAAAAACGCTAGAAGGAGGGGTCGAACCTCCGACCTTGTGGTTAAAATATTCGTATTTCCTGTATAAATACGAGGAAAAAATAAAAACGCTAGAAGGAGGGGTCGAACCTCCGACCTTGTGGTTAACAGCCACACGCTCTAACCAACTGAGCTATTCCAGCTTGCTGATATGTAGAGTGTAGTTAAAATATTTATATAAATAATTATTAATGGTTCATTGATAGTGTAATCAATTAATCCCCTCTATTATCAATCATGATACTCCATAACTCCATCTTTCCTGAATTTTATTTCACGTTGTGCAGACACATAAAAAAGGATTCACCACAATTTCAATAATTTTCCGACTCCTCGAGGGTTCGAGGAGTGATTAGATTTCATAATTGTTGTGACTTGGGAGTGTTATTATTCCCTCCAATTTGTTTCAAGTGACACCCTATGTTGTGTGCGGAGTGATAGGAGCAAACAAGTTTTTGGAAACTTTGATAAAGCAATTTCTGAACATTTGCTGTCATTTGCCAGTTTTCAAATTCTTTTATCGCACAAACATAGTAAGTTAGTAACTACACTACTCTCTTGATTCGAAACTACTTGTCACATTTTCACAACCTTTTATTATTATGGTATGATATATCCCACAAATCAACTTCAACCTAAATAAACGCGTTTGTTTGGGTTTTGATACTTGATACAGAACCAAGTAACAAACATAGACAAGAAAATTACTCGGACATTAACAAGAGACGAAGAATTCAACTTCAGAGCAGCTCATTGGGCTGATCTTCATGGCCTTTTACTAGGATCATTGCCTTCAGAAATATTCTTATGGGGTCATCAGTTTCTGTCATTCTGCATTTCTGATGACAAGAATACAGTCACTGTGAAGGCAAAAATACTTAAAACAGGCGACATCACAGAAATCGCCGGTGATCTTCTTGTTGCTGCAGATGGATGTCTCTCTTCAATTCGACAAACATTTCTTCCCAACCATAAACTGAGGTTCTTGTTTTTCATTCTATCTGATTGCATTAATTTTGTTACTTCAATAACGATACGAGTTTGTTGATGTAACCATCAGTTTTGCAGGTATGCAGGATACTGTGCATGGAGAGGGGTGCTTGATTTTTCAGGGAATCATGATTCTGAGACTATAAGAGGGATCCGAAGGGTGTATCCAGATCTCGGAAAATGCTTATACTTTGATCTTGGACCGCAAACTCATTGTGTTTTTTACGAGCTTCTGAACAAAAGGATGAATTGGATTTGGTACATTAATCAGCCAGAGCCAGATATTAAGGTAGAAAATCAAATTTAAGCAGACTTCATATGTTCAACTTCTTCTTAGCAATCATCACTTAGCAAATACTCATAGTAATTAGTGAGTTCGTGACAATTAACTAATTGAATTATGGTATTGATTTTTGGTAATTATCTGATCGGCAACTAATAGTAGCATGTAGCATGTTACAGTTACCTCAATTACTTATGTCAGATCCTTAGATTTTCGATTCCTTAATATACTTGCCAGATGATCGTATTGTGAGTTACCATTTCTTGCAGTCTGGTAGGCAACTAATAGTAGCATGTTACAATTACCTCAAGTACCTGTGTCGGATCCTTTAGCCAGATGCTCGTAATGTGAGTTATTTCTTGAAGTCTAGGAGCCATATTGAATTAATAACATTGTGTACATGTGAAATGTGCTTTCAGGCAAGTTCAGTTACTTTGAAAGTGAGCAAAGAAACAATCAAGCAGATGCAAGAAGATGCAGAGAAGATATGGGTTCCGGAGTTGGTAGCACTGATGAAAGCTACAGAAGAACCTTTTGTCAATGTGATTTACGACTCTGACCCTCTAGACCGGATCTTCTGGGACAACGTCGTACTGGTTGGAGATGCAGCTCATCCCTCGACTCCTCATTGCTTGAGAAGCACAAATATGTCTCTTCTTGATGCAGCTGTCTTAGGCAAATGTCTCAAGAAGTGGGGTTCAGAAAATCTACAGTCTGCTCTAACAGATTACCAGTCTGCTCGATTGCCTGTTGTTATTAAACAGGTTCTCCATTCTCGGCGTGTTGGCAGGATCAAACAAGGTCTTAGTCTCCCTGATCGCCAACCTTTTGATCCGAAGAATGCTACTCCTGAAGATTGCTCTGAAATCCAACAAAAGAATGTACCGTTATTTAGCATTCCTAATGTTAACTGCTAAATTAGCAACTGAAATTTGGTGAAAAATATCCACTGCATCATAGTAGTGCAAACAGAGCCTTGTTTAAACAATAAATTTAGTATGTCTTTTAAACCATGAATTAAGGTTCTGATTTTTCTTCATTGGAAATTGGACGCTTGGTTTAGCCAGCATGATAATATGATATACATATACTGTATGTTTTTCTTTTATGAACTATAAGGCCCTGTTTGGTTCACCTTATTTATGTTGATCTGATCTGATCTGATCTGAACTTATTTTTTCTGATCTGATCTGAACTGAACTTATTTTTTCTGATCTGATCTGATCTGATCTGATTGTCTGATTTGACCAAACTTTGACCTTAAGTGTACGATAATCTATAAGGAAAAAATATATCAAGTGAGATCTTGTTAGATTCGTAATAATGTGTAGTTTATTAATATGTAATTTTCACAATTTTTTTCATTACGAAATTAAGAATATTTAGCGATAAAAAACCGCACATAAAACGATGTTCTGATCTGAACTTATTTTTTCTGATCTGAACTTATTTTTTCTGATCTGAACTTATTTTTTCTGAAATAAGTAAAAATAAGGTGAACTAAACAAGGCCTAAGTATCAAGTATGGTCATAATTTTTTAAAGTATTTATTTTGAGAACATAAATTATAAGAAAATTTGATGTTAGGTTACAAATAAAATTTAAGTCGTGTATGATCCCTCGCAGCAACAATTGGGAGGGAGATGGAATCTAACCACCCAAAATTGATCCCAAATCCGAATTAGCCCAAAGGGTTAACTGGGTGGAACACCAAATGCCCAAATAAGAACAAATAAAATTTAAGTAAAGAAAATTTGTACTTCATATAAGTTAATACTAAAGTAGTAAAGTGTAGAGATGGAAATAAATCTGATTTAAGTTGGGACTGGACATGTCTAGCAAAGTAGCAAGACTCGGACCTTTATTTTTTGGGCAATTGCTTCTTCTTCCATTTTTCCTTAAAAAAATGGAGTAGACGTGTTCATGTTTTTTTTTTTTTTTTTTTTTTTTTTTTTTTTTTTTTTTGGAAAATAATGTTTATGTTTATTTATTTAACCTAGTTATCTTTAATTTGCTTTAATTTGTTTAAAGATTTATGTATCGAGTTTGGTTTATGAGTTTATAATATTTGATTAATTCCTATATTTTGAAAAGGCTAATGCGTGACATAAAAGATTCATCATCTATATAAGTATACTAATAAATATAATGACAAATTGACAATCATTCTATAAATTATTAATTAGATTAAATTAGTGATTTTAAACAAAAAGAAAAATCCTTTAGGGTTCAGTATTCCCTTAATTACTCTTCTTTTTTAAGGATTTTCTTTTAAAAAAATATATTCATATTTTTTATTGTCTTAAAATTTGAATGTATGATATATATATATATATATATATATATATATATATATATATATATATATATATATATATATATATATATATATATATATATATATATATATACCTTTGGCACCTATTAATGGAAATATATTGCTTTCATTATGGAATAATCTGGATTTTTTGACTTAATGTACATACATAAACTTAAAATTTTTTTCCTTATAACTATGGAAAATATATATGCATTAAAAAAAAAAAAAAATTAATAAGAGTGCAAACAAAGATTGCCATAGATAAACTCATAAACACAATTAATAAAGTTTAAAAAAATTCCAAGGGGTTGCAATAGTTGAGACTAATAAAGGTAATGTTATATATTATAGAAAGACTATATAATTATAAAAATGTATACTAAAAATATACAATATAGATTTCATAAGAGGTTTATGTATGGAAAAATGAATGAATCAAAAACAATTTTGGAATCGAATGACTTTACCTGCTTTGTATTAAAGGAAACCCTACAATTATGCATACACGTAAAATCATTATAAATTCTAATTCAAATCTTTTAAACAATAATATGAATCGTCATACCATAAAAATTAACAATGATGAACATTAATATGGATCGTCAGACCATTAAAATACTGAAAATAAGTGGAGTTGTATTTGTGTTTCTTGCTTTAGTTTTTGTGTATTGTTATTGGAGGAGTCGTATGAGGAAATTAAAGGAAGTTAAAAAAGTTTCGGAGCAGCCGGCACCATCACCATCACCATCTACAACCACCACTGAACCATCAACTACAGCACCTGATTCACCACCAATGCAACTATCAGCTACTTGCTAAATCGCCTAATCCTTCAACTTCACATCAAATATATACCAACAATCTAGGCTAGAGTTTATGTATTTTGGCAAAGTTTAATTTAATTACAGGCTAGGTTTTATAATGTTATTTTCTCCAAGATTCTAAATTAAAATAATGTCAAGTTTATTTCACGTATAAATATTACATTGTTTCATTTTGTTAAGTACTCGCTGTTGTAAAAATAAAAAAAAATAATACAAATAAATATACATTCTGTTTTTCCTCCATTGAATATTTTACGGAGTTCTTTGCTTCTTGATTAGATCATTTATATGCTCCATTGTACAAGTATTATTTATTTATTTTATTGAATATAATAAAAAAATAAATAATTTACTTCATCAAACGTTTTTTCTAAAGAGCATCAAAATTTATTCTTCAAAATTAAAAACACAGATTTTTTATTTGCTGCAATGTGAATGCGCTTTAATATCAAAAGTTGTCATTACACAATTGATTATAAGGTTTAAATTAATGAATGATTGACTTAATCAGTTAAATCTGTGAAGAGTATATTTTTAATAAGATAAAATTAAAAACTACAGCTATATTGCCCCTTATTTATGCGACCTGAAGTGTCTCTCAAATGTTGCAAGCAAAAATAGGAAGAAATAAAAAACATCAAAACAAGTGAATATGCATCTCCTAAAAGATAAACTCAAAATGAAATCAGTAAACGTTAATTTCGACACTATTGATTAAAAGTGGCAATCACATTTGAGCTAGTGGAAATACTAACATTGCCAACAGACCAAACTTCATCTTTAATCCTGAATTATGGGATGGTCATTGACCAAATTAGAGATTCAAAAGACTAGAGAATAAAACATTTCAGGCGAATTTTGCCTTTCTACTTTGCATAACAAGAGATGGTGGCTTTGTAAATTCAAACTTAGCCGGACCATGAGATGGGAGAGACCACAATACTCCTCGAATATCATGATTAATCAACACCTGGTAAGCACCTAGGTCAGCAATAAAACTCGCTCTATCAAGAAAAATAATCAAGAAAAATAATGCACATACAGAACCATAGATCATATATACAAATTATATGACTGCTATGACAATTTGATAGCTGGTTATTGCTAACTAAAGCACGCGGAGTTGAGCAAGGAAAGCTGCGCATAGATCAAGGAATAGCATCTGTGGTCCCTGAACCCTTTGTAGATCAAGTAAATACTTCTCCTCACGGGTCTTGTACAGCTGTGAGACAATCACAGCAGAAAATGCGTTAAAAATTACACTTATAAAGTAAAAGAGCAATGCTAAATGTTACTTGTATTATAGCCTACATCACATAAGCAGCGATATTAGATTGCAAAAGCCTAGCGAGAAACTCAAATTGCAAAGGTGATTAGTGACAGTGCTAAAATGTTGTGATCGAAAGATTATCTGGCGATACTGTACAGTTCAAATTTTGAATGAAAGGTATAATGATTTCCACAAAAATTAGCCCCTTCTACTTCATTTTTCTTCAACCATCTATTATGATGGCAAGGCACCTGTTTTCATAGGTGAAATATGAAGTGCAGATACAGAGACATTACAACAAAAAACAAAGCATTTTCTTGTCATCAATAAACAATTTTCAACTATCCCAAAATTTTCCATCTGAATCCCGTATTAGGTTTTCACCTTTTCTTCATCACCACATGATTTGGCAAGATGAGATGAGACAAGACACGGAGGGAAATGATCTAGAATTAGTGAAACAATGATAGAAACATATCAAGTGTTTAAGCTTCCAATTCCTACTATAAAGACAATTTTAACTACTAATATTTTTTTTTCTTGTTTCAAGGAGACAATTGTCAGGCATGCATCAGTTATGCTCACAACAACAATTTTTTTTTTTTTTTAAATCTACAGTAAAAATAAATGAAATTCAAACTCAGTCACTACAACTAAAGCATTTACAAAAACACAGGCAACTTATAAGTTATAAGCGATAAAAATCAGCAAATTTTAGAGAGTTAATGGATTAATCATATAAAGCAGGAGCCACCAATCAATAATATGTACAAAGACATGACACATACCTGCACCTCAAACTTCACAACATTGGGAGACCTCAACACTCCATCATTTTCAACTATGTTGGACTCGTCACCAAAATAATTATGTACAGGATTATCAACCATCCCTTCATGTTGACCAGGAATGCCGGGAATCCATCTGCACTTCATGTTATAATGCCCAACCTTCTTCCAGCAGACATTCAACTCTTGCAAGGCTTTAAGAACTTCAGTCATAATCTCACGAGGATGGGCTCGAGACTGCATCCAAATAGAAAACACAACTTACAGATCAAACCTAATGGGGAAGCTATTCTGGAAACACCCATAAGAGAACAAATTTGGTGAAACGTTAATACAGTAATAATGCCAGCAAATCCCTATTTTGTTTTTGAGAGATAGATTATGGAATAAGAAAAAACATGTTTGATGTTTCCATAATATAATGACAATTTGGTGAGAAAATAAAAAGAAAATTTTCATTAACAACACTTATTTCCAAATCATACCCAAAAAGACACTTAAACCAAACATGGGAAAGTGACATTGTCCCTTTCAATTCCATTCCCATCAATTCCTTTCCAACAGGCCTTGATACACTTTTTTTTCTTATCAACTCTAGACCTTATAGGCTCATACAATTTTTCCACAATTCACATTGATTGATTACTTTTCTTCAAGCAAAATATCCTATTTGAAAAAATAGGTCCCCTTCAAACAAATCAAAATAAATAAACCAAGAATAAACCCTGGCAGAAATACAAAAACTCAAATTGCCAAGCTTCAAATAAGGTTATTCTAATAAAATAAATGATATGGGATATAATTTTAAGGCATAAGCAACAACAAATGACAATAACCTTCCTACCAAAATGATTCATAAATTACTGGATACCCAACAGAGGCTGAACATTTCAGTCAAGGGAGAAAAAACAAATGTACAAAACAACCAACCTGTAACCCCAAAGC